ACCCTTCTTTCTCCGCGCTGGCTGTTGTCGCCCTGTTGATAACGTCAGCGACGCGGTTTAATCAGGCGCGGCTTAGTCGAGCACGGTTTTGTCGTGCAACGGGTGTAGACCAGGGGTGTCAAACTCAAGACCCGTGGGCTGGATGCGGCCCGTGGGGTACTTACATCTGGCCTATAGGGCTGCCCTGGAAACAGTGAAGGACTGGCCTCATGGTGCTTCTGCCAGCAAAAACAGGCTCCCAAGCTCCATTTTCGGCTGCCATGGCCTCCTGCAACCCTCTTCCAGTAAAAATGGAGCTTGGCAGAAGGACATGATAGCAGTTAGCAATAGCAATAGCAGTTAGACTTATATACCGCTTCATAGGGCTTTCAGCGTCAGCATATCGCCCCCACAGTCTGGGTCCTCATTTCACCCACCTCGGAAGGATGGAAGGCTGAGTCAACTTTGAGACGGTGAGATTTGAACCGCTGAACTGCAGATAATAGTCAGCTGAAGTGGCCTGCAGTACTGCACTCTAACCACTGCGCCACCTCGGCCCCTGCCCATACCCAACCTGGTCTCCTGGAGTCAAACACAACCCTGATGCGACCCTCAATGAAATCGATTACAACACTCCTGGCGTACCCCAATTGGAAATTGGTGAGAGTACAATCTGCCAACTTCATATCTTCATTAAATACTCTCCTCTGAAGGCCTGGCAGAAATGCCTATTCAGAATAGGAGTTTATCTGACCACACCATCAGGCAGAACTTCTCTCAGCAACAGCTGTTGAAAGTTATGAAAGACACCCCGTGCTCAATGTTGGGTTTTAATTTACAATTCTATGTGTTTAACTGCCTGGTCGATGGAGAAGAGGCGTTTGTGAAACGTTCTATCAGAATAGTAATGAATACTATTCAACCTATTGTAAGATATCTTTCTCCTGATCAGGAAGGTTTACAATAAGGGTTTGGAGAAGGAAGTACAAAATCCTGCATTGTTCCAAAGCATAATTTTGTTCACTATTGAAATACTGTATAATGTCATATGTCCAATTGGCACTACTCAATGTCGCTTCCATGTGCTACTGTGTTTCCCCAAAAATAAGACAGGGTCTTATTTTCTTTTGACTGCCCCCCCCAAAATAAGTGCTTGGCCTTATTTTGGGGGAGGTCTTATTATTTTTGAGGTGCAGGAGGCGGCGAGCATGTTCTCCTCATTACTGCTGCTGTGTTGCAATATTTTGGGGGATGGTTTATTTTCAGGGGAGGGCTTATTTTAGCGCATGCGCTCAAAAGCCCGATTGGGCTTATTATCNGAGATTTGAACAGCCGAACTGCAGAACTGCAGTCAGCTGAAGTAGCCTGCAGTGCTGCATTTAACCACTGCGCCACCTCGGCTCTACTATATCAGCTGCCCAAGCTGCTTGGTAGAAAGATGGGCAGCAAACAAATTAATAATTGATTAATTAATATGTTCCTAGTGAGGGTTCCCACCAAATAAGAGGAAATCAGGAGCAGAAAGCATGCAGCTCTATAAGGCAGCAGGTTCGATTTGTTTGAATATATCAAAAGATTCTGGCCAACTGTGATAAGACCAGTAATACAGGAGTGTAGTGAAATGTGGAAGAAATCCTATCATTGTGTTTTGTCCATCATAAATATTAGCAATTGCACCTGATTGGGGTTGGGATCCATGTAAGTTTGTGTCACAATAATTACAGCCATTTTAAAGAAGTATAAAACTACTTATCCTTTCCAAATGGCAAAATATCATAATTCAGAAACCCTGGTCTGTTCAACCATCCCCACTTGGGCTCCCCTTCTTAAAAGAAGATGCTCCAGATACTTGACCATTTAGTCAGAATCCAGAAATGGTTTGACGAAACCCATTAGGATGTCCTTGGGATGTTTCAGAACTTCAGAACTTCCAAGAGCCTCACCCAATATGATTAATCACAAGATAGTGTGAATAATACATCTAAAATATTGGGCAAACATGTAGCTATCCGTGATAATCTATACACTACTAAAACTCTTGTCATGGCTATTCACTGGATGAAACAATGTCTCACAGGGCAGCCATTTTTTTGAACCAAGCCACCTCAAATGAGCTAAACTTACAAAATATGTCCAAAATCTGGGATCCATGATGCCTGAAGAAATGACATTTGGAAAAGTTGTGGCTGCTGCAATCAGCTGATCTTCACTGTCAACACTCTGTGACAGTTTCCCAGCCAGTCTCACAATCCCTTGCTCCCTTCCCCTGCCACATATGTGCCTGCTGGAAAGGGGATGGGAAGGGGATTTCTGATGCTCCCTGCTGGTTTCCCACAAGGGAACTCAATGGGGAGGGATTCAGAAGTCATTCCTGTTCCCACTACTTTTCTGCCCACCTTTTGGTCATTGTTTCTCTGTTTAGATAAGGAAACATCTCTATATCACAATGACACAGCAGGGCAAGGTTGTCTAGCAAACTATATAACAAAATGACACCGTCCACTTAAGCTCCTGGTGGCTGTATGGGTACTTGACTGAGTTTCATTGGAGTAGTTCCTTACACACTAATAGCAATAGCAATAGCAGTTAGACTTATATACCGCTTCATAGGGCTTTCAGCCCTCTCTAAGCGGTTTATAGAGTCAGCCTATCGCCCCCACAGTCTGGGTCCTCATTTCACCCACCTCGGAAGGATGGAAGGCTGAGTCAACCTTTAGCCGGTGAGATTTGAACCGCTGAACTGCAGATNCCCTGAGCCGGTGAGATTTGAACAGCCGAACTGCAGAACTGCAGTCAGCTGAAGTAGCCTGCAGTGCTGCATTTAACCACTGCGCCACCTCGGCTCTCTAGCGACGCGTAACTGCGTGAGCTCCCGTGACTTGCACCAGCTTCTGCCAACCTAGCAGTTCGAAAGCATGTAAAAATACAAGTAGAAAAATAGGCACCGTCTTTGGTGGGAAGATAACAGCGTTCTGTGCGCCTTCGCTATTTAGTCATGTTGGCCACAAGACCACGGAGACGTCTTCGGACAGCACTGGCTCTTCGGCTTTGAAACGGAGATGAGCACCGCCCCCTAGAGTCGGGAATGACTAGCACATATATGCGAGGGGAACTTTTAACTTTACTTTAATCTCTGGTCTGTTTCTATCAACTTTAGAATGTGACTTATGGCTGTAAATAATAATAATAAATTTGCTAATATCGCATGTACACAAAATCATTAATGTACGTACATAATTGCTCAGGATACTTACATTTCAGCATACAGTATATGGAATTCTTTTTCTTTATATTATTTACTAATATTTTAATGCGTATCTTCAACTTTAATAGGCATAGGCAACATGTATGATAAACTATATGCAAAAGGCTATTATTAGGCAAATGTTCATCTTCCTTCAATGTTGGCTTGCTGAGTACCGCTTTTGGACTGTAAAGCAAATCTTGAGAGGCAGGTGGGTGCAGTGGTTAAAGCATCAGACTAGAAACCAGGAGATCATGCGTTCTGTTCTGCTTTAGGTACAAAATCAGCTGGGTAGCCTTGAGCCCATCACTGTCCCTCAGCCCTAAGAAACAGGCCAAGGCAAAACCACTTCTGAAAACATTGGCAAAAAACCCTTGCAAATATTTGTCCAGGAATCAACCCTTATTCAAAAACATACAGACAGAGCAAATCTTTTAACCAATTTTATTGTGCATGCCTGCATTGACAGGTAAACCTCACTTGACTTGTACAATTTGCAACTGGAATCATATAGCAGAATTAAACGAGCCTTCAAAATATAGTATTTGGGTTATTCAGATGACAAATGTTTATACTCCGCAATGTCATTTAAAAACAAACAAACTAAAAATTCCCTTTTTTTTCCTTTCTAAACTTTTTTTCTCTCCCCCCCCTTTTTTTCAGGCTTTTAAAGAGAGGATAAGTAGCATCCCCACAATTAAGAAATTCTTGCAGCCTGGCAGTGCACGAAAACCTCCACTAAACGAGAAGGCGGCAGCTGAAGCAATAAAAATTTTTCACTAAATTTTGGCTGGGAATCTGGGGGTCATTAACTGGTGTAGATAGAAATGCTGACTTTAGATGGGGCAGTAACTGTACATCAAGTGATTGTAAGGGACTGTAACTTGGCAGGCCTCTGCTTCAGGATCAATCAACAATCAATTACAGCAGAAAGATCAAGATGTGTAAAGATAGAACTTTGCCATTAAACTAACCTGAAATAAAACATTCTAAACCAATATATATTTGATTATTTAATTGTGGGCACATCCCTTCCGAATTACGCAGTCAGTGACATACCTGAATTGCCACATTTGACACATTGAACATGAATTTGGGAAACTCTGGGAGACAGTGGAGGATATGGGGCAGGGGTGACATCAACTTACCTTGCTTAATGTTTTGCAAATGTGAGCAGGCATGGATGTTGGCTTCCCACGCACGCGCCACCTCTGTGCATGCGCAGAGCATCAAAAACGGGATGCGATGATGTATGGGAGGGTGGGCGGAGCCTACTACCGAGCGCCCCTGCAAAGGTAAGAACACGAAGGGGAAGAATCTCCTGTGCCACGCGGTTTAGATTAGCTAGAAAGAGCGGAAATCCAACGATTCTAGTTAATATAAATCGTGCATCACAGCTGATCGTCGGAAATACTGGGTCACCAGAACCAGTAGCATTTTTTACTGCCTGTTTAGGTGAACCGGTCCAAACCAGTAGCATTTCACTCCTGATGTGGGGTCCTGGCATGCTATGGGGTCACAAAGACTCAGACATGGCTTAGCAAGCGAATAACAATGTGTCTGATCTTCCATTAATACTTTAAGAACATATACCAATAGCAGTTAGACTTATATACCGCTTCATAGGGCTTTCAGCCCTCTCTAAGCAGTTTACAGAGTCAGCATATTGCCCCCAACAACAATC